AACCGCATGTTTCGAAGGGATATTACAAGCTTCCTGTAAGAGTAAGTTATTTCCAACATTGGCTTGTTAGATTTATCTATTATAAGGTTCTACCAATGTAGTCGTAACAAATCTTCACAGATTGGATTCAAGATCTATCTTAATTTGACCTAGCTAAAAATCGAAAGACTAAAATTATACAGAATTTGAGATTTTCACGGAGGAGAGTCTGAAGATGGCTGTCTTCTGGGTTGTTACGTCATGTAGACTGGTAGAAGTTTACCGACGTTTCAGAGGTCCTTATTGCCTCCATCACCAGGGCGATGAGTAACTCTGAAACGTCGGTAAACTTCTACCAGTTTACACGGCGTAACAACCCAGAAGACAGCCATCTTCCATAAAATTATAAATTTACATGTTGTTCGTGTGTATGTTAAAACTGGTCTCTGACTGTACAGAAGGAACACAGATCGAGTGTGTTTGTGAACGGAGTTCTGAGGAACATGAGACCTAGTAAAAGTGAGAGCTGCAGAAAATTCGACTACATAATAAGAAACATAATGTGTAATCCTAACCAAATATCAAGGCGGATAAGATACGATGAAACGAGAAATGCATATACATTGGCCAGAAAACTTCTTGAGTGGAAAGCTGACAATCAGTTGGATGGTAGGGGTATTGGCCGTCAGTGTAGATTGTTAATATTAATTTCTAATAATCTAATCACTGTATTGTTGAAACTGGATGTCAGGTAACTGAAAAAGTTCTACGATCACTTAGGCACAAATAGGGAGATAATATTAAAACTGATTAAATTTGGCTGGTTCAACACAGGGTTCAACGGTGTCTGTAAAAACAAAACTGATTAAATTTGGCTGGTTCAACGGTGTCTGTAAAAAAAATTAACAAATCTCAGGGTTCTAAAACAAAACATTTCCTGACCGACTGAAGTACTATAAATCATTCACAAAGGACCCTGAGCCATGGACTTCGTAGGTTCCCACAATATGATCAAGGAAGGTCGATCAGTAAAATAACGTAAGATAAACGTAGTGGAGTTTGCACAATGGAAATTCTGGAAGTAAGAGCTGCCTCCAGTTTATTCCTATGAACGAAAACAAATACAACACAGCACGAAACCTAATGTGACAAGTTTCCATTTATTCTGACTCAACATTAATCGTTCGCATACTCGCCGTTTATATGCTTTTAAGCACAAACAAAATTAAACACATTTTAAAACGCCTTAACGCGATATAATCTTCCCAAAAATCAAATTTAACGTTCTTGACTGACAAGTTATAACTACAAAAACAAAGTCTGCAATAAAATTGAGTTCTAATTTATAGGTTTTAGACAAATATAAACGGTGCATATTTTTGTGCTTAAAGAGAATTAAATAAATAAATAAACGAACCTCAAGTTGAAAATTTGGCACTGTTGTCAAATTGGAATCAGTAATACTGGAATTAAATTGTTTAAAATCTTACCAGTTTTTTTTAAAAATCTTCAAAATGGATTCAAAGATATCAATCGAGGACACATGCTGTGACGTATGCCGCATTAAACACGTTTTCTTTTCGAAAAAACAACGCCATCTTCAAAGCGGAACCATCTTACTATACTCAAACCTACAATGAACACCCCTAAACCAGTTCCTTATCACCACAAATTCTTAACTTTCAAAAGCCTAGAACTTTCGCTTCGGATGATTATCTTTACTGTGAAACGGAAGTTCAACTCGAGGAAGGAAGTGCACAAACAATAACCACCTCCCCCCCCTCCAACAACTGCACTATCTGTGACGTCAAAGGCAATACACAAGAAGTTTTACTAATACCGTCATTTAGATGTCGTACTCCACCCAAAGCACACACCTGCGTCAGGATGGCCAAACTTTCTCCTAAAATATGCCACATCAGATAACCCCTTTCTACCCTACAAACTTTCTGAAAAAAAAAATTTCTGTCGAACAGTAGTTATAAACCAACGATCCGCCGACCTTAATCGATAAGCAAACAATCCTTACTGACTCACTGAAGGAAGTGACTACGAACCGAACGATCGGGGTTAGATTCCCGAAAGGCGCCGTGAACACTTCTGCGTTCATCGCAGTGTCTTGTATGACCCACAGGCCTTCCTTGCCTTCCATAATGTGAATCTGTGAAATCGGGGGCCAAAGCATCAAGTTCAACATTAATCGGCGAGCAAAACTTAGAACCTTAGGAATGAGTGTGGTTTTTACATTTATTATTCAGTGTTCTAGTGGCCCTCGATGGTACAATTCGTTTCTCTGTGCAATGAACTTCTATTTCAAGCCCATCATTTGTTATAAGGGCTTAAAAATACAGAAAAACAAAGAACATCAAAGCTTCAGGTACAATAGATATATTGTGGAAATGTTTCCATTTCTATGGAAATTCATTACATATCAATGTAATACACTGAAAAGGAGACTGAGTTTGATAGCAGAGCAGAATAGTTCCGTTACTGAAAAACCTCTGCTGGTCGGAATAAAAATTTCTCCTGCGCCACGTTTACACTACTTGCCACAGGCTGTGTCGCGTTGTAAAGAACTAACTGTACTTTCCAAACACATTCTTTGTTACCTTTTACACTGCGTTGGCCTTGATGTTCATTTATTGCAGAAGCGTATCTTCTTATCAAATATAATAAACAACAAAATGGCATGTAACTAATTTACAAATTTCATGGAGAAGAGTACTTCTTGCGGAGCTGTTAGTCGCTTAGACAGTCAAGAAAATACACGACTTTTATGTAATCAAAAGGTTCACAAGAACCAGCCACTGGATCCTATATAGAGTCAGCTGAATCAAATCCAAATCCTCACATTACATTTCTTTAAGATTTGTTTCAACACTACCCTCTCATGTACACCTAGGTCTCCCAAATGTTCTCTTCTCTCATAATGATGTAAGGTGCAGAGTACAAAATATGAAAGCTCTTATCACACAATTATACTTTTCAGTTTAATTTTTTGTTTCTGAAGTGTACACTTCTCAAAAGCCTTCCCCAGCAAAATTCTGTCTGTATTCATTCCAGTCTTCCCCATCATAGTCATATGAATACCCCCAACACAGCCTTCTAATGACAAACTGTGTATGAGAAAATTAAAATTCAGACTTTTTAAACTATCTGATTCCTTGTAAAACATTGTTCCATCAGGCAGTAAGTAACAACTGGGTGACTGGCAGAAGACACAGATGAGAAATGGATACAAAGTTTGGTCAGACATTTCGTAATGCAGCATCCCATTGTGTTTTTAGCACATGTTTCGTCAAAGCATCGTCACTTCTACATAAATTCACAGCACTTATCATTACAGTACACTGATGTACCTTTAAGTGAAGTAATTCGTCAACAAACTACATCTTTTGGTTACATATATAAAATCATCAACCACAATTTCAATAAAAGTAATAATATGTTAGATTAAATCCCCATATAAAACTGCTGTGTAGTTTCTGTTGTTGGTGTCTTATGTGACCTGTGTTGCATGAAAATGATGGCGCTCTGATGAATGGTTTGGTCACAAAACCTGAAGAGAAGAAACCACTTGAAAGAACTACGCATGGACAGGGAGATGTTTAAATAAATCTTAAAGAAGAGTTTGTCAGGACGTGGACAGCATTTATCTGGCTCACAAAAGGGTCAACTGGCATGTTCTTGTATACATGGTAACACACTTTCACATTCCATAAAATGTGTGAAATTTCTAGACAAACTCAGTGACTTATAGCTCGATAAAGAATTAGTTGGTTACATATACACATGCTACATAATTTAAATGTGAAATTTAAAATTACATTTGCTGTTATTACTTTATGAGAAGAAATAACAAATCTGGAGCAACAAACTAAATTTCCCATGCCTCATCATTTGATCATTCCTAAGAAACGTTATCACCCGATATTAGCTTACGGGCACCACGGTGGGAACAAATTGCTTAATATCTACATGACCAAATGCCAAACCCTGAGTGCACATCAAACAAAAACACAATATTGCACATTGAATACAGATGGCAGGCGTGTTTATACAATGACACAACCAATCAAAATGTAGGAGGTAAGATACTAACGGTTATGTTTGAGTTTCAAACTGATACTGGTGTGTATTTAGAGCAAACACCAGTATATTGGGGTAAACAGTTTCAATACCAGGTGCTATGTAATACACAGCATGTTGCATAAAGTGGTAATATAACACCATTTTCACAAAAATCACTTTCAAATGCAAAACATGTCCAATGGAAACCTCTACTAGCGAGCAGTGAAGAAGATAAAACAGCAATTTCTTGGCTTCAGAACTTAAAATGTTTGCACTTGTATAAGAATTACAGCTGAAGATAATTAGCTCCATGGTACAGGGTCTTTCTTGAAAAGTCAAAAGTTACTCAGTTGGTCAAGATGTTCTCTGCTTTTACTAAACCTGAAGATGAATTACAATGTTCATGACAGCCCACCAATGGGTCTTATCCTGAGCTAGCTTAATCCTGTCCACACTCAGCCACTTTAAAATTTATTTTAATATTATCATCCAATATATGCTCATGTCTCCCTAGAGGTACTTTTCCTTCAGTGTTTTCAACTAAATCTGTATATACATATATAACTTCCTCCACATATGCTACATGCCTTACACATCTCATCCTTCTTTAATTAATCAACAATGGGTTAAAAAGTACAAATTATAAATCTTATTACTGTGCAACTTTCTTCGGTCCTTTATTACTTCACCCATCTGAGCACCTTTTCTCAAATATCATCTACCTATAAAACAGCCTGCATTTTCTAAGTGGTGCATCAATAGTTTAAGTGCTCTGTATCATAAGTAAAAGATCCTGAATGGTGAAAAAGTTATTGAAATATGTAATACATCCTTCAAGATTAGCAAGATCTTGCAATTATCTCTTCAACAGATTCCTGAATTAGCAATGACTTTCAGCTGTGAACCATGGCACTGCCACTCTAAAAATGATATTGTTAACATGCATGACTTTCAGCTGTGAACCATGGCACTGTCACTCTAAAAATGATATTGTTAACATGTGAGACAATCAGACTCAGTAAATGTATGTCTTGTTGTAGCCATTCTGTCTGAAAGTCTTCTTGTGATGTTGGATTTGTCAATCTAGGCTGACTGAATCAGAAACGACCTTGGCCTGTTACAAGAATATAGAAAGAACAGCACATTTCTGTGACAAGTAATGATCACAGCTGTAATAAAAGTACATGTGTGTGTGTACGGGATTTCTGTAGACCAAATGCCCCAATAAGCTCTCAGGTTTCCATTTTACCAACAAATCAAAAAATGATAGTGAATTGTCTTCCTTCATCTCCATTTTGAATGTGATGTTTGGATGCTGCTGAAGCGCAACTGGAACTTCTCTAATTCGTCCCTGCCATGGGACCAGGCTACAAAGGTGTTGTCAATATAACTGAACCAATGGGTTGGTTTCAGTGGAGCTGCACTTAGTGCCTGGTGCTCAAAATTATCCATGCAGAAATCAGCCACATCTGGAGCAAGTGCTGAATACATGACAACCCCATCTTCCTGGTCACAGAAATGTCCAAGAGACAGTAAGTTTATGTCAGACCTTTCCAGAACAGGTTTATGGTTTCAAAATGCTGACCCAGTGATTATAAAGTATTCTTCACTGGAACCTTCGTGAACAAAAAAACCACATAACTGACCATAATATCAAAATTATCCAAGTTTATGTTGTGGAGTTTCCACATGAAAGCCTCTGAGTTTCTTCAATGCTGTTCATAGAGACACTATTGGACTCAACATTACAGTTTTTGTGGGGCTGTTGAGAGTATTTTTTACCATCTTTCTATAAATGCAAACACATACTCTTTCAGTTACTTCTATTTCACACATAGTTTCAACCTGCCAGTTTGTGAAATTCAGTAACCCCAGGAAACCAACAATTACCCCTAATATCTTTCCTTAGATTCTAATTTTACAATTGAACAATGAGTATCAGTCACAAGAGACTTCTGGTTCTCACAGTAATGAGCATGAAGATGATCATCTTCTGGAATGTTGCACTGCATAGTCTGGTACATACTGACTGACATGTCAGAGGGCTTACTGCCTCCATCATCAGGGTGAGAAGACCTCACTCACTCATCACTCTGATGATCGAAGCAGTAAGATCCTGTAAAACATGAGTAAGAAACACATTACACACACAGTTTACATGGCCATCATTAAGTAAGCCAGTGTGTACAAGTGTTAAAGTGGCAGCAGTGGCTGTACTAAAACTTTTTATATATATGCAAGGGATTTATAAAAAGAGCTGGTCAGAACAAGTACTTAAAAACTATCCATCAATTTATTTTATACCACAGTTATGACAAAACTGTTCTAACAGTACAAAATTTAAATTAACAATAATTTATAACAACCAGAGTTTTTATTTATAAACAGTGAAAATATATAATTAAATAAGATGAGTAGAATAATGAGCTAGAGTTCCTATAAAGACCTGAAAGCAGTGTAAATTACACTATCAAATTCATGTTCATATGAATGCATATTATTCATTCTACAGTAATATTTTCTGCTCCAGAAATTCCTGTAGTAAACAACGCTACCTTGTAAGCACACACAAAAGCTTCCACTGCATTATTCCCTGAATCATATGTCAATGACCTCAAACCTTTTGTGTTACTGACTTGTATAGGGAATGTATGCTGCTTGCATTATCACAAAAAATGCAACTTGTATTATAAAAGGTAAAGTTTCCCCTGTGCCTAAGCACCACACCATGAGAGCACATAAGAGGCATGGAGGTAAAGGTCCATATACTGTAGATTAGACACTTTTTTGGATCCAAAGAATCATTCTGGTCAATTAACAAACCCTGAAAAAATACTGGTATCTGTTCCATAGGGGGCCAGATGTAACTTATGTAACAACATACTTGGAGATTATCCAGATCAAACACAGGATAAAAAATGACTATTCTGACTGAGGGTTTTTGTACTTTTTCTTGGTAAAATGATAGAAAAGTACCTTAAAACAGGTTATGGCTGCTTCCATCCACACCACTCCCAAGTCATCCATTAATAATCAACCTCACATCTCAATCTCTGCTACACAATCTTAGCAGTTAACTAGCTTATACAGTACTTTAATATATCCTATGAATCAATCAAAAACTAATTATCCACAGTCACAGTGAGTGAACTGAAATCATTGGTGCTCTATTACATAGAATACATTTTTGAAGTTAAAACAATGTTTTACATCCCACATTGTGGCCATTGTGATAAAAATAAGGTATTCAACTTCACACAGAACTTGCCACAACAGCATGCTGCAGTGGGTATTCAACTTCACACAGAACTTGCCATAACAGCATGCTGCAGCAGTATCAAGTGAACTACCAGGAAATGAGTTAGTCACAATGCAGAACACAGCCATTCCATGTTAGCAGGTGGGTTCCAAGCTAATGGAACTCCCTTCATTAAATTAAAAATTTGCCAGAACATGACTTCTAATCACATGATATGCTGTCTTTTCACTTGTTAGCTTGTCATGTGTGTGCTGTATTAATATCAGGGGTTATTTATTAAGATGAAAGAATTATAACACGATGGGTTCAAAGTACTTGAGAAAAGGCAGCATTCCCTATTTCAGGACACTACCCAGGAATTTAATTGGAACAACTGAGAAAAATCATAAGAGACCTCTCAGACAGGATACCTAGCACCTCAGCAAAGACTCAAACTGGGTACTTTCTGAATATAAGTTAGCTGCATTACTGCTTGAACTAATCTTCTCACCATACTCTCATTTAACAAACCACTCTTCAAAACGGATCTCAAAGCAATAAATAAAATTAAAATATGTTGCTTTAGAAAACAAATGTGTAAAGTTTTAAGTGTCCAACAACATTTTTTATTTTGCTTATTAGACCCAGCATTAACACGATATAAATTAAACTGAACTGAATTGAATTAAATTATATTAACCCAATATAACCAAATCTATTTCTCTGCATTAAACTTACTGTATATTACCATCTTTGCATATGAATAAACAGCCACTGATTTTTTTTTTTGGGGGGGGGTGGTACCATCCGGTCGGAGCCGACCCCTGGTGACATTATGAACAAGTTCCCTCTTATAGGGACCTGTTCATATGTTTCCTCAGCAAATGATCCAGAAGTGGTTTGCCATTGCCTTCTTCTGTGTTTAAATGATGATGAGAATGGAGTAATTGTTGGGATGCCACGGAGAAACCGGGGAAGCCCCGGAGGAAAACTCCGTGATACCTGGACCACGGCCTTGCCCAACACAAGTTATAAATCCGAACACAACCGGGAATCGAACCCGGGATCCCACTAGACCACAGTGGCGGTCCTGATATTGTTACAACACAGTAAATATTCTCTGAAACCAGTAAACTATTATGATTTCACGACCACAGACTCTGCTGGAATTGTGTTGATTCAGAAACCCTCAATATAAGTAAAGCTGCAATATGGCTTGCAAACAAGAAATACAGTTAGCATTATTATCATAAGAATAACCATTCTAGTATATGTACACTTCAATGATTCATTTGATATTTGCAACAAATTTTCCTTATGCTAGATGTTCCTTCCCACACTTCAAAGAACAAGGCCTGACTTGTATATAAAGTTCAAACAAGCTTTAGCAGTTCCAAGTAGCTCCAGTCACAAAGTAAATAAAGACAGAGGGTTGGGTGGGGATGAGAATAATCTGGAATATGTTTGCATCCTTACTACAAACAATATTCTGCTCCGCCAATCAGCACCATGAAATCCACCACCCCTCCTACTGCCTGCCCTATATAACATTGCCAAAACTGTCCAAACATTTCAGATTAATGATGAAGAAGACAAATGTCAAAAACTGGATTATTTTCAACATTTGACATGACTCACCCCAAGTTAAAGCTGTACATTGATGTCCAGCCATGAAAACCTAAGGACAAGAGTGTTATCATCCTTTACAGAAGCTGAATGTTTGTTATGATTCATCAAATGTGCAATTTTCCCCACAAAGTCAACAAGTTGCACCATGAAAATCAATTACTTCGGTATGAATTTATGGGCTTCCACGCCACTACACGGCATCTCATTTTCACACTTCTTAATTTCCTACAATATATAATATCAATATGGCAGTCATTTGAACTTCTAATGTTGGAGCAAAATTACAACAGTGGACACAAGGACATGAAACATGGTATAGTGACAGATCTTCAAAAAACAGCAACTTTTGTTGCAGTACTCGCTTTTTGCTGAATGTAAAACAAGGCAGCATCTTAAATCTATATTTTGCCCCCAATTAGATGCCAGAAACTAATGAAACATCGAAGTTAGATATGCAAATTTTTATAAATTCAGATCATACGAGGGGCGTATACAAATGATTTAGACTAAGCTGAATTATGTGATCCTTGATGGTGGTGGCTCCCAGGTTACACTTTGGCCCGTTCCACATATTCTCCCGGGAGGTCGATGCACCGTTGCCATCTCTCTGGCAATTTCCGTATTGCCTCACGAAACCATTGTTTGGGGGTGTCTCGTACCCACTCCCTGACAGCATCATGTAAGGAGTCACTATCAGGGAATCGGTGACCACGCAGGGGATCAGTTCCGACACTCCTTGAATCATTTGCGGAGTTCTTGATGTTCTGGGACGACCACTGCTGGATCCCTTTTTCACTGTTTCGTTGTACCATGTGAAGCCCGTCACCCAATTGAACACAGTTGCACGTGCAGTCATTGGGGTTCACTGTGATCCCACACCCGCCCTATTCCCCCGACCTGGCACCAAGTGACTCTTCCGTGAGATGAAGAATCCCCTGCGTTGTCACCAATTCCCCGATAGTGACGCCTTACATGATTCTGTCAGGGAGTGGGTACGAGACACCCCCAAACAATGGTTTCGTGAGGCAATACGGAAATTGCCAGAGAGATGACAATGGTGCATCGACCTCCAGGGAGAATATGTGGAATGGGCCCAAAGTGTAACCTGGGAGCCACCATCATCAAGGATCACATAATTCAGGTTAGTCTAAATAATTTGTATGCGCCCCTCGTACATTGCCTACAAATATTCTATAAAGATTCTTTCTGTGTTAAAAGTTACAAAAATAGTGAAAGAAATGAGTGGTAGGTGCCATAAGCTTTAGATCTTCCAATGCATCTATTAGTCCTACTTAACAAAATATATTACACTATAAACCATAAACACATTTAATTTTTAAAATGGCTTAATTTATTTCTCCACTTCATCTTTGCTTCTTTACACATATACTTTGCTCTTTCAAGACCATATACCTTCAACGTCTTCATCTGTACTTCTGTATCTACATCACTTGATGAGACTAGTACAGGCATGTGGTGGCTTAAAAATATGTCCACTTCTATTTTGAAGACCTAATTCTATACATTAATGCTTTTACTTAGGGAGTTAAATAAATACACCTTCTAATTCAACATCATAATTAGCATTCAAAATGTCAAAATAGTTTCTCTCACAAAAATCTAATAACCTATTCCCCTCTAAATAGGATTTAAGGTTGTCATGGTGGTGAACATGACAATGGTTGTCTGCAGGATTGTAGTGCTGTGTAGTATGATACAAGGTTTTACTGACATTTCAGAGGTACTTGCTGTCCTGGTGATAAAGGCAGCAAGGACCTCTAAAAAATTGGTAAACTTCTACCAGACGACACAGCGGAACAACCCAGATGACAGCCATCTTCATATTACCCTCTTGAATAAACACATTGTCTTTACTGTGTCTATTATAATAAAATATATTAAAACACTTTGGTTGTATAAGCATGGTTCACTGCCATTTAAAAACCCCTTCCATTAAAATATCCCAGGGCCAGAAACTTAGTCACTGGACTTAGTAACTGTCTATCTGCTACTCCTAGTACAACAGTCACCGTCTGTCAACACCTGACTGCAAGAGTGTGCTGTTCATGTAAAGCAGAAAAAATTAAAACACATTCTAAAGGTGGCAACTGTTATACCAAGAAATGCAAATGAGGCTAGGGTGGCAGCTATAATGGGGCATGACAGAGTCTGTGTTTGGTGAAAGTCCGGATTCACGTGATCAGTTTAGTGTTGGTGTATCATTTGCAAGAATCTGGCTTCAGCTGTCACCAATATATTTTTACATTTAATTTACTTCCTAAACTTGCAAAGATAATGCTGCAATAAACTGTATTACTCTCCAACACAAAAAAAAAGGTCAATTTCTGCTAACTCTGACAGGCTATATTAGGCTAGTATCTCTTACGCAGGTTATGCATAGAGGAAACCAATTTCAAGAAATCAGATTCATAAAACTAGAAACTGTAATTCTATTGAAAAATGCAGTTGTTTTCAACTGGAGGTCATGCGCAGTCACATTAAAAGATTATTGTGCATCTGCTGTTTGTTTATTTCTTTACGGTTCATTTAACAACACTTTCAGAAACTAGACCAAGAAATGTCAGATGTGAATAATGTATTGGAAAGATTGTAGAAGGAGGCAGTGGTGGCCTAATTCAATGTGCTATCCCGACATTTGACTGGGGATACTGATGAAAATCACACACACAAAAACAAATTTAGTCAGGATAGCCAGTTTCTGAGCTGAGATTCATAACAACCTATATTTGAAGGGTGTGTTTTTGGCACAGCAGCCATTCAAAGTTTATATGTAAACTAGAGTTTTTAATGTTGGCATAATTAAAAACAACAGAAAGGAACAAACAGACTTAATGGCAAATTTGATATGCATGTAACACTGTGTGTGTTCCAAAATCCAAACTAGGTAAAAATTAGAGGCAAATAAACATCTCATATATATCTTAATTTTGTTATAATGGTATAATTTGTTTAGGCCATATACATATATATATATATGTGGTTCATTTAAGTACACTGTCAGTAGCTCAGACTACACAGCATCAAATGATAAGATTATTGAAGAATCTTTAACTGGAAATGGTATGGTAGAAGTCATGGTTCAATATTTGTCTGTGGAAAACCATAAAAAAAAATCAGTCAGGAAAACTGGTCTCCAGGCTGAGATTTAAACACAAGATCTCCTGAATATATACATGGGTTCTTGAACTAAAGTAAATTAAACTGAGTTACAATGTAAAAAAGAAATCTGAGGAACCATGTATTGGTTCTTCTAAATTCTGAACAATATTATGAAGTAAACAATCTGTACTCACTTCCAAGTTCTGAGAAACACACAATTCTTCCAATTCTTGTACTTTCTTCTTTGATTCAGCTAACTCTAAACTTGTATCTGCAGAAAAGGGACAAGAGAAATATTACAAAACTTTTTCACAAAATAAAAATAAATCTCCAGACTAATTAGGCACCTACACTAAACTGGACAAAAAAATTAGAAACAAATACTGGCAACAGCGAAGCAGCAAGTATTTAGAATTCAGAAACCAAGATTTAGTTTAATTACAAACAACATACACTTTTAATCAAGATTTTTAATTCTATAAAATGTGATTAGACAACATTGCTGCCAGAAGAAATGATATATCAACATATGATTGGTCCAAGTCATAAAACACAAAAAGACTTTGTTTAATGTTACATGGAACTATAAATCTTCTCTTAATGTTAAAACTTTAAATACTGTGTAGTGTATTAGAATATAGAGTATGCAAACCAACAACTATTAACACTATAATAAGACAAGCGGCAATAGTGTCTTATTATAGTGTTAATAGTTGTTGGTTTGCTTACTCTATATTCTCTTAATGCAATTCACTATTTCTGAATTCTGGTAATTTTTACTGAAATAAAATGCCTTATCACAGCTTTTTTCAATTTTCTAAAAAGGATATGTAGAAAATGACTTCACATTAAGGTTTTTAGGATGACAGTCCAATTACACAATTATTTATTATAGTTTTAATGTTTATTAAGAATCCACTACATGTTTTGACATTAACTGGTCATCGTCGAGTGGTACTCTTCAAGTGTTTGAAACTAATATACGTGACTAATATTTTGTATACACATTTTCTGTTGTTTACCTCACCATGTACAAGTCCATTTCATGGTAAAGTTAATTTAACATATATATTTAAGGATAGTAGCCTTTTCTTTTTCTCAACATACTTACATTATCTATTTCTATGCAATTTACATCACTGACACTGCATTTCTAATTATACTAAATGTGATATAACTTTGTACTGAAACTTCAAAATTCTTAATTGTCCTTCATTGCTGATAAACTGTAACCTACGTACTCAACCAGTTTAATGTAAAAGCAGGAAATGTCAGCCAACCTGTCATCTCTAACCTATACAATTGAGTCCAACTATGTAACCTTACTATGTCTTTGAAACCAAAAACATTCCTTACATAAAAGTACCACATAATATGGCCTAGATATGATAACAGTAATATTTCTATGAAATTCTGCTAATAAAATAAAAGAAATTACCATGACTTTCATCTCTTCCTTCCGACAAAACCTCTTTCGTAAAACTCGTAATCTGTCCTTTCAACGTCGAAAGTCCTCCTAGCCATGCCATTTCAAAATGATCTAGGTAAAAATTCGCACTAATTCTGCACTATATTGGGGGCTTTAGAGAAAGAAGAAAATTCATTTTTTACTGCATAATAAAATGTATAATATTGTAACACATGCCAACACATCAAACAGCAAACTTACACGCCCCGCCCACGCTATCAACGGTATGAAACTGAGATAATAATGATACGATTTATTTTAGACATATAATTTAAACTTTACAAAATGTAAGACAGTTTCTTCCAACAACGTAACTAGTTTAACTTAATTACTTTTCGAATTTTTGTTGGAAAATGGTGATATGTACATACTGGTTTATTATATTAATCTATATACAGTATTTCCCTTTAAATATTTCCATTCACAAAGAATTTTTAGACTATAGTCGACATTTTTTTACTCATGAAACTTTTGTAACATATGAGGAGGTAATGTTTATTTTAAACAGTTTCATTAACATATACCAAAACTTGGTTAGAGGGCACACATTACACTGGCTTTGATAAGGACGAATTTTAAACTTCCCTATTAGACTGAACAGGTCAGTATTCCATTACCAGGCGTTTATTAATGGAAATTTGCGTACGCTAAACCAAGAAGTTGACTAACAAAACAGACTATGACATGCCACTAGAATGCTAAATTTAGTCTTGTGGGGTGAAAATATAATTACTAAAAGCGAATGTGTTCTGTTATCGGAGCAGAGGCAAAGACGATAACACGGAAAATTAGTAGTAAATAGACTGGGCTTTTGGAAAAGTTGTGCAAGAAAACACTTCGAGATAAAGTCGGAAATTAGTCATTACAGAACAGACTGGAGGAGAAAATACCATAATAGCACAATGTGGGGAGTTGGGCTCAAAGAAGAAGCACACTTTCATCTCTTGCATGTCATCTGTGCCTCCATGGTCCATGACAATTATCGAAAATAAAAACTTCAATTGATTGGGGGGTGGGGTGCGCGGGGGGAAATGTAATGAGATTTTAATCAGTATTAGGAAGCGTTTTATCAATACCTTGCGCAAAAAGAAAAATGTCTTCGAAAACACCTACCTTTCAAAATAAATTTGCATACAAGCGTTAAGCATTATTGTGACAACAAACACTGCTATGCATTTCGTAATTACGTTTGTGCATTCTGTGTAGGTCTTGATGAAAGCAGATTTATAAATTATGAATGTGCTATAGATAACATGTAACATCACTCTGTTTCACTTAAAACTAACTTCAAAGTTCTTGACAAAATGTATAACTGGATTACCATTCACTTTGGACTCCATGAATTTTACCACAGTCCTTAGATAATAGACCTACATTATAGTGTAAAGTATATTAAGGCAGCATCATAGTTACATCTTGAATTTCATGGCAATGATAACACTTTGACACAGTTACCTTATTTGGCTTCCCACATTTCAGTTTAAGCAAACTGCCTTCCATAGCTAAGCCATTAATTACACATCATTTTGTTCATTAAAACATCCTTTCACTAACCTGTGGTGCAGTCAAAAAGGTTTTCAGAAATATACCATGTTCAATCATTCAATCTATCTGTGCATTGGGTAACATCACATAAAGCAAAAATGGAAAAGAAAAGGGAAGATATTAGTAATGTATTCCTATGTTGTATGTGTTGTATCAAAAGCACCAGTCTTTGTTTGACAGACTCACCATTTATGCTGCAACACCCAAAGGAAACTGCAAAACAAGTCTTCAGTGCCTCAAAGTTCATCACGTGTCTTGTTCTACACATGAAACAAGTATAATTTGACCAACTTCATCTGCATTTTGGCCATGTTTTTTTTTCACACCAGAAGTGTGGATAATACCAAGACTCACTTCCTTGGGTTTGATTGCAGAATTTCGTCCACATTGAATGCAGTGTAGTTTAGTAAACGCTTCTGTTGCCAAGAACTCATTTGTGATAAAATGGCTGCATCACATGAATGTGTGACTGGTATTAAAATAGGATACAATTAGTTCCTTATATGTTAGTAACATTAAACTGTTTTCCCATCACTTGATGTTTCATTGACAGAAGATACTTGAATCTGCATTTTGCATCATTTCAAAGGATTGCTTAATTTTGGTTTTGAAACTGTTCATTGTTGCAATACATCATGTTGAACTAAAAAATTGTCCTCCAGCAATGGTACTTAATGATACCTGCACTTTGTCATAGTCGTGGGGCTTGAGTACCTCAGTGATCCCAAGAGCTATGCTGGCGGTAGCATAGCTACTGGTAGGGCCTCCCTAGCCAGATTGGTCGAGGGGGAGAGGTCAGACTAAGACAGGTACCCTGGTCCTCCAGGTTGGGGGTTGGTCACAAGGCTAACAACCTTGCACTGTAAAAAGGAGGATGTTTCGAAACCTCAATCAAAGCCTCGGACAGACGGATGTAACAGAGGACCGAATGGAAGAGGAGAATTGAGGAGGCCATGGACTGAATACAGACCGGAGAGCAATAGAAGAAGAAGAAGAAATGATGGGAAAACCTTAGGTACTACATAATTAATAAAAAATCTAACAAAGCAGCATACAAAAATTAAAAATAATTTCATATCTTTGCTTAAACATGACTTAATGTAGTGAAACATCAGTTTGCTGCATTGTATATAAGTACATGTACATAGTAGACCATGGATGAATAAACAGTGTTTTGTTTCAGTATATTTTTTCAACAATGCAACATAACACAGTTTATAGCAGTTCCATGGATATGTGTGTTTGTTTATTGTATTGTTTGATCTCAGTGAGAAGTTGAAGTCTTCTTTACAAATAGGAATTTTATAGTGACATACATAAAAGACTATTGAATATATGATAATTACTAAACTTTTATCACCATGAGGAAAGTTTTTATATTCATATTGCTTGCATCATTTGTGTGTCTGCAACAGTATGTTGAATCACGCCCCCATACTGTCCATCAAAATCCAGAAGAAAATGAGTAAGTAGTGTAATTTAAACTAAAAACATTGGAGTCTTATTATATACTAAATTATTTCATATACATAGATATTTTAGACATAACAACCACATGAATTATAAATGGAATGTTTATGGAATACACCAAGGAACCACTATAATTTATTTGTAACTGAAATTAAATAATGAGCATGTAGATTAAAACAGAATTTTTTTTAAATTCCATAGATCCTTCATAGCCCCAAGCCAAGGATGTAGAACATGTAATAGCACAAATACAATACTTGTTTCTAATACAAATATAAATTACATAGTAATGACAGTAATTCACAGTCAACTACAGTTTTACCACAAAAATAATTACACAGGAAAGCATACACACTATTGCTTACATGTATTTATAATACGTGAGAATTTCTGGTTGAGGTAAACTATTTTATGGAGTAGGCGTAAGATAGGAGATTTACTGAGTTTAGTGTTTGGCACATGAATGTGGTAAGGAGGGTGACAGTTCATCAAGTCTGTGATGCTGTTGTATTTTCCTCTTAGAGCAAGACCTAAGAATGTCTGTTTTACATACAATTCCTTTCAGCCCAACTGATTTTATTTTTTTATTTTTATTTACAAGTTCCAAGAATCCAATAGTGGATATAGAACACGTCACAAACTCAAGTATAAAAACATAAAATACATACATTAAAAAATTACATCTAGACAAGCAGCGTACTAAATTCAAGACAATATAATTAGTATTTTTATTACAATAGTTATCCAATTAAGTACTCATCCACAGTGTAAAACGAGTGAGTAATTAAGAAATGCCTTAATGCAACCTTAAACTTTTTAAAATTATTTGAGGTATTCTTAACCTCTGTGGGTAATTTATTAAATATCTTTATACCCGCATAGTGAACTCCTTTCTGATAAATAGTTAAATTGGCTTGAGGTAGATACACATTTTCTCTCTGTCTAGTATCAATAGTATGAGAGTCAATGTTTGATGGAAAAAGAGTTTTGTTTTGTAATACAAACAATAATAAAGAAAATATATATTGTGATGCCAACGGTAAGATATCTAATTCTTTGAATATATTTCTACACGATACTCTATTGCCACATCCCATCATTGTTCTAATTGCCTTTTTCTGAAGGAGAAAAATAGTGTAACTACTAGATGAATTTCCCCAGAAAATGATGCCATAGCTCATTAAGGAATGAAAGAAAGCATAATAAATTGTCTTTAGTACTGAAATAGACATATATGGTTTCATATTTCTAATTACATAGCAAGCCTTGCTCAATTTTTTAATAAGTAGATCAATATGATTCTTCCAAGTTAATGCACCATCAATCATAATTCCCAAGAATTTAGTACAGAAGATATTATTAATGAATTTATTATTATAACTTATTGTAACAGTATCTGACATTTTTCTCTTAATTTTAAAATTAATATAATGTGTCTTATTAAAGTTTAGTGATAATCTGTTCATTCTAAACCATCTATTTATATTTTCAAATGTTGCATGAATGTGTTTATTAAAGTCGTTTGTATTAGAATGAGAAAATAGGATGCTAGTATCATCAGCAAAAATTATAGGTGTAGCAAATTTAGTTATTATACTGGGTAAATCATTTATGTATAAAAGAAACAACAAAGGTCCCAATATAGACCCTTGTGGAACTCCATATCTAACTTTAAGCCAATCCGAGGCTGTATTGTTACTGTCATTAGTATGTAATACTGTTCTAATGTATCTGTTATTTAAGTAAGATTCATAAAGTGCGTGATCTTTCCCATTGATACCATAAAATTTAAGCTTAAATAACAAAATTTCATGATCAACACAATCAAAAGCTTTTTCCAAATCACAGAAGATGCCTCCCACTATTTGTTTGTTATTCATGGCATTTAAAATCTCTGTAGTCAATTTATAGATTGCATTATCTGTTTTTAATCCTTTCCTAAATCCATATTGTTCAGTACTTAAAATATTGTATTTATTGAGATGATCCAAAATTCTTGAGTACATTATAGTTTCAAATATTTTTGAAAAAGATGTTAAAAGTGATATAGGTCTATAATTAGACACATCATATATATCACCATTCTTATATAATGGTTTTATTAATGCATATTTTAATCTATCCGGAAATACTCCTCTCCTTAACATTTTATTGCATATATAATTGGTAGGTGAACTTATAAATGACGAGCTTATTTTTAAAATCATAGGTGGTATCTCATCATATCCATGCGATTTTTTTAGTTTAAGGGATTTTATTATTTTTTTTATTTCTTTGTTCGTACAGCATTTGGAATTCATATTTGGGTATGGATTAGAAAAAGCTTGGTTCATGAAATGAATATAATTTTCATCATCATTAATATCATTTGCAATTACGGGATTATTAATATCTTGTAGTTTTATTTTCTCTGCAATGTTAACAAAATAATTATTAAATT